TCGCCTAGGATATCATTGCTTGGGCGTTATTTTGTTTATGTGCGTTTCTGAATTAAAAACAAATGATCATGATGGAATAAAATGGAATGAGGTTTCAAAATAAGGCATCCCCGACTATTTGTATTTCTCCTTGTCCACATCTCTCCATTTTTTCCCGCGGTGTAAATATCCTCTCAATCTCCAAATCTTCCCTCAGTAACCCACCTGCCGGCTGTCCCGGTTGGACCGTCTCCGCCATTTTCCCTTCAGTCTCCTCCCTCCTCACGCGGCCTCTCAGACGTCTCAATCTTCAGTCTTCACCCTGACGGGCCCAGCCACTGTGCGGGCGGCAGAGAGGCCAACCACACCAGAAGAAGCCGATGTTGCGCCGATGGCTGGATCGGATTCCCAGCACTCAGTCCAGTATCTTAGTCCTCAATCCTCAGTCCTCACTCTCAGTCCTCAATCATCACACCTCAATCATCAAACCTCAAGCTAAATCTCTGTCTCACACCAGAGACAGAGTGCGTGTGCGTCGCCGCTGGTCCCCGGCGCACCACTGTGACCAACACCCGTCGCGCCGGTGCCCACCCTGTGATTACCTCTGGGACGCGATATAATCGATGCCCGCGGCGGCGCCCGCTCCGGCTGATGCAACTGGCCTGGTCAGAAGTGACCGGGGGTGCGGTGGGGGTGGTTCGTGGTCGCCTGGTCCGGTCCGGTCGGGTCCCGTGGGGTCCGCGGGGAGGAGGGGGGGGGGGGGGGGTCTGTGTACCGCGTGCCAGCGTCGCCAGGTGGGGACGCACCACACCTCACCACACCGCGAGGGCCGCGCCGGGCTCAAAAACACACTCCCCTCACAATCCAATCAGTGCGCGGGGATGGACGCACAAAGGGACAGGCCGGAAGAGGACGGACGCGCTGTTGTCGGGACCACGGCCAGGCTGGGACTGAATACACTGAATATAGCCACTGAATATCGCCAGCCCACCACCCAGAGCTCATGCAGCCCTCATGTGACGAGCTACAGCAGCCTGCAGCGGCCGGCTGGCGAGGCGCCTGAGGGAAGCGTTATGCTAATGAGCAGCAGATCCGATCCGATATTGGCCATATAAAGGGGCCGTGCCGACGGGACCGGTCGCCGTAGCTAGCCCCGGGTATGGCTGCCAGACTTGCAGGGTGGCCGAGCACGGCTGCAGACTGGGGAGAGTGGCTGCAGGCTGCGGTCATAGCCCCTGGCGGGTAGTCATGGAGGCCTTGGAAAAGGTGCATGGTGATCGGGGGTTGTTGAACAGGAGCTGGTTTCTTTGGAAATGGCGAACGTGAACATAATAAAGACGCAAATGACTACTCCAGTATTATCCTAAATAAACTTAGCACAATCAGAAACAAAGGGTGTGTTGTGTTTTGGCACGAACAAGAACAATCCGAACATCAAGATTCAAGAGTTACGTACTCAGTCCATTTTCCACCCAAGCTCCCCACAGCAAATACCAGATATTTCTATAGCCAATTCGGGACTCAGCCCAGACTCGAACGGCCATAGAATCTCCAACATCTGCATACAATTAGGCACGGAGCATCAAATCCGCATCCAGCACTGAAGCTCAGGTTATGGCCCGACCAAGGACAACAGTCAAATGCCTACCGACCAGAGCCATTCAGCCCGGCCATAATGCCAGCATTCAATGCATATTTGTGGGCCACGATTCAGAACTATACGGCCAGCAAAGAGATGAGGAGCAGCTTCCGGTATGCATTGCCTATGTCAGTCAAATCAAGCAACGTGACCATCATGAAACATAATAGAAGCAAAAGCAAGATGAAAAAGGTTTCGCATCACTCCCAATCGGTACTATCAGGGGAAAACCTTTTTACACAAGTGCCATTCACCAGAAACCAATAGCCTGCCTGGTTACTTACTGACCCAGCTCAGTCGTCATCCCGGAGGCGCAGTCTTTATCCCATAGTCAATATCGAAGAAATACTGAGTTCGACCACATTCAATAATCCATCCAGGCCAGCTCGGCACAAAAAAGGTAGCATTTCCAAACCATTCCAATCACTGGTCGACCGATAGACTGTCATCACTAATGCGGAGACTCGCGCGCAGTGAGACGCCCACCAACGAGCACTGCTCTCAGCCGCTCCAAGACGCACGCTCAGCTCTCGATGGAACGTCGGTGGCCTCAGATTGGCCACTCAATCCAACATCGGCTCCTATTGAGCGCCGGACACAGGCTGCCAATCCAACAGACGACTCGATGTGGCACAAGATATTGTGAGGCATCGGGGAGCATTCATTCGTTGAAGCTAGAGATTGATTTAAAAAAGCGAGTGGTGGGCAAATCGCATAAATGTACGAGTGCAAGCACGAGTGTGAATTGCGATCGTTAAACGCGTTGAAGCGAAATGTGCAGTGCCATTCCGAACTATGTCAGAGTATGAATCTGACATCTATGCGAAAACTAATTCAAACACGCCCTCATGTGTAAGGTTCTAACGGACCGCAGCAGAGCTGGGTGACCGTTCTGCCGCCCCGACCTCTTTATGCCAGCAGTCACGAGGCGGTCAACACCCTCCTAACTGAGATGCACCGCACCGATAGCTCTGGTAGGGTCCGCAGGTCATCGGTGCCGCTCAGAGGATAAGGTATGACCGCGGGCCGACACAAAGATCGGGCAGCGGGAGCAGCATGTTCTACTCGTATGTTTCCGCGAACATAACGGAGAGTGTCGCCAGCTGACAGCGAGCTGGAACTGTCATCTGTCAGTCCACGCGCACCTCTAGCCGACAGAGGGACTGACACTGACAGATTAAAACTCAGCCGGTAGTGGGACTGCAGCTGTCAGCCAGCTAACTCGCCCGAGTGACGCGGAGTAGTAATTGAGTGACGATTCATGATTTATAATAATCCAAAGATAAACAACTAACAAAAAAGTGATGCTTTTTACCATGTAGGTTAACTATAAAGGCAATAAGTATACCACCTTACCAGCTTTTGTTGAAGTTTATTTGGCAGGAAATAGCTGTTACAGTTGGAAATTTGACATAATTTATCACGCTTTCTCTTCCGCCCACAAAATCGAATCACACGACCCACCGCACATTCCAAGACTCAACAATCGATCTCCGGCCGACTAAGCCCAATCCCGGCTGACATCGACACGGGGCCGGCGCCGGTGCCGACGCGACGCATCGATTTCTGGCCCGGCGGCGGGGGTCGGCACTGACTTCCGTCTCCGGCGGGTCACACAGAGGTCAAACACGTGCCACCCGCAGGTGGGTGAAGGCTGGTGGAAGGTAGCTAGTCGCCCGTCGTGGCGGAGCACGGAACAGTGAGGTGCATTGTTAGGGAAAGCTACCGTCGCGCTGCAGATCCGCCTTTGGAAGGTGACTTCAAGAGGTGCACAGACGGAGTACAGAGACTGAGAGAACTTCATAGACAGTACCGTGTACAAATCCCACCACACACACGATAATTTTTACTGTAGAGATCAGAGATGGACTTAAGTTGGGCGAAACGGTCCCAACGGCAGTTTGAGGGATCCGTCATAAAGCTGACGTAAGCGCTGAGCTCCAGTTGAGGGCCAGCGGAGAGCCGGAGTGAGCTGGTTATAGTCCCGGGATGATCGTCTGAGTGATTACAGCTGAACCCTGAGCACCACTGTAACCATAGCCGGCAGAGGACGACCCGAGCCATCACAAGCGGGAAAGCGGTAACCGCCTCTTCTGCCCAGTCCCGCACTCCGAGCTGTCCCCCCAGTATCTGAACTGTCTGAGCTGTCCCCCAGTGCAGAGGCTCGGGAAGATGACAGTGTTTTCACCCCTGCACGCCCAGCTTCACTAGAAATCATCGCAGCGGTGCAGGGAGATGACAGGCATAAGCCCCTTTGGGTGGCGCCACCGTCGCCACAGGTCAAATAGCTCGCGAGTTGTTCCGGTAAAAGACTACCCAAATTATTTCCGGGGAGACGTCTAAAACTTCTAAAACATCGAACTGTACTTTTGCTGGTCACTCGTCATTGCAAGATGTGCATCGAGCAACGACAAAAACAGAAACGTCCGGACGACATGCCACTCGGCTTAGCCACCTCTATCGCTCGGAGAACATGTCCGGAATGCAAAACATTTCCCCTTTCCAACAACCTGGCTCAGGGCGAATAGCACCATCCTTCAGACCCTAACCACTCCTACCGTGGCTGGCAGTAGAGAGCGGTCGGCGGGGGATTGAGTTACCGTCCTCAATAAACGGCTGCTCGGTCCTACAATCAATACCGGACCAGCCGAGGACTAGGCCAACATACCGCTAGATCCGGGCGGACACAACACCAACGTTAGAGCGGACACAAAGTCAAGGAAATGATGGACACAGCGGAATAAGGACTGGTATAAAGCCGAGGGTAGGGAGGGCCATGGAGATCTTGATGCGAGCTGTCAACAGCTCACCCCCACTCAGTCCTCCGGCAGCAGACGCCTCAATCAGCTCCTAACCCGAATCATCCGAGCGAGAAGACCCGACCTGTTTATTGTGTGCTGTGATGACCCGGCAGGAACATGCCGGTTGTGGTGGCTGAAAAGTGAATATGTCGACTAAATATGTTAGCTGTGTCGGGTGAATATGTTGACTGTGTCGACTGAACTCCACTGCCGGCGAGTGCAGCGGTGCGCGAAAACCGAGCGCTGTATAAACAGAGTCCAGATGATGGTATGCATCTCAAGCAGACATGAGAGGTCGTGAGCAGTGAAGAGGAAAATCCGGTCCCAGTCAGTTCCGTCGGCCGCTGAACTGAACTGCTCGTACTTACCTCCATAGCTTAACACTTTTTATGGCATATTGATGAACAGACGAACAGACGACGATTACGCCTAATCCAAAACCATGGAAAAGGCAAAACAACTGCAAAGTATGTTGAAATGCAAGGCGAGAACCAAAAGATTTTCTCTTGCTCGGGATCATCTCTGTAAAATATAGGTAGCAGATAACAGCTGAGCCTACAAAACGGAAAAGCGGTACTCACCGAAATATGCGAGCGTGGCTTCCACCTGTTCAGGTGTGAGAGGGGCTGTCTTTTCCTCCTCCCGGAGGACCGGAAACGGGATGAACCAGTCCTCGTTTTCGTAACCTGAAACAGCACAACAAAATCAGTGTCAAGGCATGTCTTCAGTGACGAGCCAAAAGGTCTGCACATATGCGATACGGTTCTATATATACGAGTATAACCACAATAAATCACCATCGTTCATTCATCAGCATCGTACACACCATTTGATAGCCCAAAACTGTACAGAAAGCGTATCGCTATTGAAGGCTGAGCTTATTCGAAATTCGTCAACCCCGTCATCAAATTTCACGGCTCAACTCCAAAATGCAACTCCACAATGAGTTATAATGCCTGGATACTGGAGATAGCCGACAAGCGGTCGACGAAAGTGAAGTCACATCAGCTGCTCGTTTGTGAATCACCGACTCAGTGAACACAGCCGCTCATCACAAGTGTGCTGTGATTCACAGCATCACCACCCTGTCGGCGCGATGTCGTAATACTGAGCGGGGAGAAACACTGACACAGGAAAACCCGGGCAGCAGATCACTCCGCAGCACGAGTCACCGCCCTCTCAGCACGGGTCACGAGAGTCACCGCACGAGAGTCACATCACGAAAACTGCCTCAAGATAGTAGCCAAATCACATGAGAGTCAACTCGTATGGGTCACCTCCAGCAAACACCAATCTCGTGCCAGTCGAGCCAGTAGTCGACTGTCGAGTCCCCTCTAAAGTAAAAACATCCCTTAGCACGACGGTATCGCCACCTTCGAGAGCAAGAAGATGCGTCAATGAAACTGGCCCGGTCACGCGCGGTCTTTGAGTGCAGACTGTGGTCGCCTGACCTTGTGAGGGCTCCCAGCCTGCCGTCCGCTGTCAGACTGCCCTGACGGAATGTAAACAGTCCCTCCCTCGAAGGCGGCAGGGCCGTCTGCCATTCCGCGGCATACCGCAGCCTGGTGCACTGGCGATGACTCATGGCCCGATGCACAGTGGGGATTTTTCCGATCTAGCGCCTATTAATTTGAAAAATATTTTTTGGATTTTTGTTTATTTGTTGTGGCAGTAGGGCTAAGAAATGTCTGAATTTTTCATATATGGCATTGTTTTATCTGTATGTCCACAGCAAAACTAGGAAAAATGCGCCCAAAGTTCACACTCATCGACAAATCGACAAATAAAAAATTAAATTTGCACCCTCATATTTTATTTTTCGTTGAAAACTGGTGTAAGGGATTGTGATGGGCGGGGAAGCCAGCTGTGGCAAGGATTTTTTTCTTCGAACAACGGTTTCCGAGATATAGCCTCGGGCAATTCCTGGAGGTCGCGCTGCAGCCCTATGTTTGGCGGCCTATAACTCAGAAACTCTTGGTTTTCTACGATAAAAACTTTATATGGTTCGACTCACAATCAGCCAACAAACATTTTGGCTATCTCGGATTTTCAATTTTTGAAAATTTTGATCACGTGACCTTTTGACCTATTTTTCGAAGAGTGACCTTGATATTTTCCCCACTGAAAGTTGCAATTTTGTCTGATGACGATTAAAGCCTTATCAATTGTCATTCATATGCGAAAATAAAAAAAGTGGATATCGCCCTGCGTTGACCTCAGGTCAGGTCATTTTTATGACCTGTCCATTATTACGAGCGGGAGCGACAGCGAGATCTCGAGAATAAAGCAAGATAGCTACAAGCGGTAAACGGTGCAGGGTACAAATGGATAAGGTCTATAATTTTTACTAAGGTCATTTTCAGGTCAGGTCAAAGATGACGTCACAGGAGCAAAAAGGAAGCCAAAATTGCGGCACTACATATATATGAAGTTTTTCTAGAATAACTTTCAAGGTATCCCATCTAGGAACAAACTAATAGGACCATCGTGATCCTCTCGTCGATCCGCATCGAAATATATGTATGTTGACCTCGGAAGGTCGAAAGGTCAAAAGTTGACCTTAGGTCACGTGACGAGCGGGAGCGACAGCGAGATCTCGAGAATAAAGCAAGATAGCGACAAGCGGTAAACGGTGCAGGGTACACAAGGATAAGGTCTATAATTTTTATTGAGGTCATTTTCAGGTCAGGTCAAAGATGACGTCACAGGAGCAAAAAGGAAGTCAAAATTGCGGCACCACATATATATGAAGTTTTTCTCGAATAACTTTCAAGGTATCCCAGCTAGGAACAAACTAATAGCACCATCGTGATCCTCTCGTCGATCCGCATCGAAACATATGCATGTTGACCTCGAAAGGTCGAAAGGTCAAAAGTTGACCTTAGGTCACGTGACCTTAGGTCAACTTTTGACCTTTCGACCTTTCGAGGTCAACATACATATGTTTCGATGCGGATCGACGAGAGGATCACGATGGTGCTATTAGTTTGTTCCTAGCTGGAATACCTTGAAAGTTATTCGAGAAAAACTTCATATATATGTGGTGCCGCAATTTTGACTTCCTTTTTGCTCCTGTGACGTCATCTTTGACCTGACCTGAAAATGACCTGAGTAAAAATTATAGACCTTATCCATTTGTACCCTGCACCGTTTACCGCTTGTCGCTATCTTGCTTTATTCTCGAGATCTCGCTGTAGCTCCCGCTCGTAATAACGGACAGGTCATAAAAATGACCTGACCTGAGGTCAACGCAGGGCGATATCCACTTTTTTTATTTTCGCATATAAATGACAATTGATAAGGCTTTATTCGTCATCAGACAAAGTTGCAACTTTCAGTGGGGAAAACATCAAGGTCACTCTTCGAAAAATAGGTCAAAAGGTCACGCGATCAAAATTTTCAAAAATTGAAAATCCGAGATAGCCAAAATGTTTGTTGGTTGATTTTGAGTTGAACCATATAAAGTTTTTATCGTAGAAAACCAATAGTTTTTGAGTTATAGGCCGCCAAACATAGGGCTGCAGCGCGACATCCAGGAATTGCCCGAGGCTATATCTCGGAAACCGTTGTTCGAAGAAAAAAAATCCTTGCCACAGCTGGCTTCCCCGCCCATCACAACCCATTAGACCAATTTTAAGCAAAAAATAAAATATGAGGGTGCAGGGCACTTGTCGATTTGTCATTGAGTAATCACTCATGCGTGATTACTCAATGGGCTCAGCAAGGCCCGAAAGTATAGCTCAATTTCATTGTCCTGTCCTGTTGGTTTTAATCTTGCGAGGTCTTAAAGTTGCATATCGTCTGAAAGGCACCTTTACCGGGAGTTCCTAAATAAACAGTCGAATTATTTTTGCCTCAAGTGGCGTCAACTAACAAAATCACAGCAATCAAATTGCACGTGATGATAGCACGTGCAATGCCATTTTATTTCATACCAAAATCAATCACTTTCCATCATGCAGCCGCATAGTACAGACATAAAAACAAAAATAGTACATTTCTATTTTGAGACAAAGTCAATCGTTGCAACACAACGTAAGCTACAGCGACACTTAAAAAGGACCCAAGTGCCATCAAGAACCGTCATTTTAAGTAAAGTTGAGAAGTTTTTGGCAAGAGGTAGTGTGGAGAACGTAAAAAAGGGCAAATGTGGCCGAAAAAGAACCAAGAGGACGCCTCTAAACGCCCAAAAGGCACGAGAAGCCCTCCAGAGGAGCCCACAAAAGTCGCTCAGACGGCTGGGCCAGGAACTGGGCTGTAGCAAAACCACCGCTCACCGTTTGGCCAGAAACGACGTTCAGCTGTTCCCGTATAAGGTCTCCGTTCACCAAGCACTGTCGAAAGTCGACAAACAGTCACGGCTTCTTTACAGCGGCTGGTTTTTGAGAAATTGCGAGCAGGGCAATGAGTTCCTTCACCGAATCTGGTTCAGCGACGAGGCCCATTTTCATATGGATGGCCGCGTGAACTCCCAGAATTTTCGATTCTGGTCGACGGAGCCACCCGATTTGGTCGCGGAAGCCCCTCTGCACAGTGTGAAGTGCACAGCCTGGTGTGCAATGAGCAGCAGTGGCATAATCGGACCTTTCTGGTTTGAGAACGACGCTGGGGAGTCTGTCACCGTCAACGCTCAGCGCTACCGGCAAGTCCTAGCCAAGTTCTGGACTGCGCTGAACAGGCGGCTGGGTGGAGACAGGCAGCTGATGGACCAACAATAGTTCCAACAAGACGGAGCCTCGGCGCACACGGCCGTTGCGACTCGAGAATGGCTGCGGAACCGATTCGGTTCGCGGGTTATCTCCCACAGAGAGGTGCGGACCTGGCCCCCGCACTCTCCGGATCTGACCCCACTTGACTTCTTTCTCTGGGGTCACCTGAAGTCACAGGTCTACAAAAGCAACCCCAGAACCACAGATGACCTCAAGAGGGCCGTGTCGTCCGCGGTGCGCCGAGTGCGGCCGGAGATCTGCCGGGCTGCGGTGGAGTCCGCTCGGCGACGCGCAGAGCTGTGTGTGGAGCGAGAGGGGGCTCATCTGGAACACGTCCTCTGTGGCCGCAAATGAAAAGACAGCAAAAAGAAGATGGTATCACGTGAAATGGCATCGACTATTGTGTATGTAAGAAAGTGATTCGTTTTTGTCGTGCCTTCCATGCTGATAATATACAGCTTTTAAATACGACTGTTTATTTAGGAACTCCCGGTATTAGGAATGGAATGGCAAACAGAAAGTATGCCACAACCTTACTAAGGTCACAAAAATGCCCTTTACAAAAAAACCCTTACAGACACCATATTGAAGGAATGGTATTCTAAATAAATGTAGGAAATCAACAATGTTCTCCACACTTTTCCACTCCGAAATATATCCTTTCGAATTCGCCACTTTCTTCTGCACAAGACAACGCCTAGTTTGGCTGCCGAAACTTGCCTGAACACGGAATATTCACATTACAGTATCTTAACACCCCACTCGAGGAGCGCTAGGGCAAACAGCACGATATAGGTATGTTCCGGACATAGGCGAATAATTTTACTTCGTGATTTATATGATGCATATTTTCTGAGACACATTCATTAGGAATAGGATGACAAGCGTAAATTATACATACCGTAACCTTATTAACCATCGCACTTGTGGGGAGGGGGAGGGGGAAGGGGTCGGATAAAACCCCATGGTTTTTCGCA